TGTATACTTTACTGTGTTCTTTAAAACGTTACATCTGAGAATTTTAGCACACTGACTAACGCTCAGCCACTACGGGCTGCTGCACGTACTCCTACGTAAGGAATCTGTACGATTCTGTGATTCTGTGATTGCGAAGCACACACTTCTGTGTTCACAAAATAACTGAAAATTTCTGTAGCAGAAGGAATCCTTACACCTTTGTTGGAAAATTTTCTGTGGTCGTCTGTAGTTTTTCCACCGAATTTTTAACAGTGAAGGGGTTACCCTTCGTAGTTAGAGCTGCCGAAAAAAAATGTAGGTAGAAACATCGCGCCGCGGAGGGGTGCGGGTCGACTGTCAGTTTACTTTTTGTGTACTTTGCAGGTGCATGGACGGCTCGTGGCGTCTGAACTGCGTCTCCGTCGTGGCCGTGGCACTGCACCCCAGCAGCCGCGGGAGCGTGCGCCTCAACACGTCGGCGCCCACGTCCGCGCCGGTGGTGCGCCTCGGCTATTACGAGAAGGCCAGCGATGTGGACGTGGTCATGGAGGGCGTGCGGAGGGCACGGCGGCTAGCGGCGCCCCTGAGGTCGCTAGGGCTAGAGCTGATGCCAAACGACTGCGGGTAAAAAGTTACTTTGGGCAGTGACATGCGATAAAAAGAATGTCTGATTGTTTGAGGGGAAAGGGAAAACCTAGAGAGAGGAGCTCCCATATTTTAGCGTATTTTAGGGAAACTCCTCGGACGTCGAGGGTGTCTCGCAAAATCTGTGGAAATTTCTCTCGCTTCTTAGAAGATTGTGAAAATCAGACATTACTTTCACCGTGCACACGTTTGCCCTTCATCGTCATTGTCTCAGTGTACCACTCAAGGGGTCCCGAACTAGAGTACTCGCTTGTACACAAAAAACGTTAACAATTCTTGCTAACCATAAACGGACCCTTAGTTAAGAAAATTTTCTTTTTTATAGTTTCGAGCAATATTTTTTGAATGTAGAAGTTTGCGCCGCGTCATAGCGCCCTCTCACTTGCACAATCTGCTTTTGGACGCCATGTAGGCAATTCATGCCTGCTCGCTGCATTGTTCTTGTTCTTGATGTGTCTTTTTGCGTGATATTTTTTTGAATTAGCATATTAATCATTACTTTTATAATTGAACACAATTTTTGGCATGAGCGCTGGGCAGCGCGCGCGGGGGGACTGACTACTCAGAGAGCAAGGTGTCCATTGTTGCTCTGGTACCCGGGCGTGGGTGTGGAGCTGCTCAACAGGTGGTGCTGAACCATGACTCTCTCCCCCCCGCGCGCCCCAACTGTCTGGCAGAAACGGGTCCGTTTAAAAAAGTACCCGCAGTATTCTCCCGATGACTCATACGAAAAAATCGAAAATTACTCGCCAATACTGGTGGTAACTCGCCAACAGTCAATAATCAGGCACTTTGTTTGCGATACAAATTGCTTTTTTTCGTATTTTGGGGAAACGCCTGTCTGCATAAAATATTCCGTTGTGTAGGCTTGAAATTCATCGGAAGTAACGTTTTACGGCTGAAACATGGAATCGGCACCTTGGAATAAAAGGCACGCAGTTCAACCGCTGGATCCGATATCCACGCAGTTCAGTCCCTGGATCCGAGATCCACGCAGTTCAGCAGCTTGGTCCGAGATCCACGCAGTTCTTCGCTACAGTGATAGGAACTGCGTGAATCTCGGATCAAGCGACTGAACTGCACTGTTAAAATTAGCATTGTAAATTTACGATACCTGTATCGTAAACTTTCATAGCGACAAGTGTTGTTATATTACGACACTTTTGTCAGAAAAATATCGTTATTTTAATGTTGTTACAATTTTTTTTTTCTTAAGATCAGGGATAGGGTCTTGACTATTTCTGTATGGTTTACAACTGTGTCGTCAGATTACAATATTCTTGTGAACATACAAACAATATCGTCTAGAAACGACTCGGTCCTGTTTCTCAACGAATAAATCGTTATTTTACAGTAAAAAATAAAAATCGACTAATATTCTTAACTTTCAATTTTATTTTCATCAAAACTGAGAAAAACTGAGAAAACAACTCATGCCATTTCGAAGCAGAAATAACTAGAGAAGTTATTAGGAATGGACATTATTTCTCAATCTGAGCACAAAATTGAAAGTTAAGAATATTAGTGATTTTTCTTTTTTTTCTGTAAAATAACGATTTATTTGTTGAGAAATATTTTCTTTCGTTTTAAAACAATGAGTTCGTTCTAATACGATACCAATGTAGTTTTGCCTAAGAATGAATCTTTCCATCATCAAACGGATTTGTCGTACTAAAACAAGCTTACTGTTAATTAATGTTGCTTTTGTTTTCTGTTGAAACAACAATGTTGTTTTTAAACGACAAATTTTGTAAGAAATTTGTCGTAATTTCACAACTTCTTTTAACAGTGTGCGTGGATCTCGGATGTAGCGGCTGAGCTGCGTAGATTTCGGATCCAGCACGACGCATCCGTGCAACAAAGGCGGATCAAAAAGCGGTCGCTGCCCGTACAAAAAAATCGGTCTCCCAGAAGGCTCAGACTCGGCTCAGACAGATTCTTTCTCGAGTCACCGCTGAGCCAGTCCATAGTCAGTTTAGAACGTCAATCGAGTCCACTTTTCGTCAGCGTTGAGTTACTTCTGATCCAAAGCCGAGCCCTCCTAGAGCGGCTTTCGTTGGCTCCATCGTGGATCCACAGAGGTGCCAAGATGGCTACTTTGTCTCGAAAAGTAGCCTTTCCTG